CCCAACACCATCCAGGTTCCATCTAGAACCACGTTGGGTTGAGTTGAGTTGAGTTGAGTTGAGTTGAGCTGAGACCTCCCCACAACCACCCAGGTCCCATCTAATACCACGTTGGGATGATCCAGGACCTCCCATCACCATCACAACGGCCCAGGGCCCATCTAGTACCACGTTGGGATGATCCAGGACCTCCCCATCACCACCACAATGACCCAGGTCCCATCTAGTACCACGTTGGGATGATCCCGGACCTCCCCATCACCACCACAATGACCCAGGTCCCATCTAGTACCACGTTGGGATGATCCCGGACCTCCCCATCACCACCACAATGACCCAGGTCCCATCTAGTACCACGTTGGGATGATCCCGGACCTCCCCATCACCACCACAATGACCCAGGTCCCATCTAGTACCACGTTGGGATGATCCAGGACCTCCCCATGACCACCACAACCACCCAGGTCCCATCTAGAACCACGTTGGGTTGAGTTGGGACCTCCCCGTGACCACCACAACCACCCAGGTCCCATCTAGAACCACGTTGGGTTGAGTTAGGACCTCCCTGTGACCACCCAGGTCCCATCTAGTACCACGTTGGGTCCTCCCTGTGACCACCACAACCACCCAGGTCCCATCTACCACCATGTTGGGATGAGTTAGGACCTCCCTGTGACCACCACAACCACCCAGGTCCCATTCATCACCACCCCGGGATGAGGTGGGACCTCCCCAACACCACCCAGGTTCCATCTAGTACCATGTTGGGATGATCCAGGACCTCCCAGCACCACCAGCAGGACCCAGGTCCCATCTAGAACCACGTTGGGTTGAGTTGGGACCTCCCCGTCACCTCCACCACCCACTGGGATCAGGTGGGACCTCCCCAACACCATCCAGGTCCCATCTAGTACCATGTTGGGTTGAGTTGGGACCTCCCCATGACCACCAAAACCACCCAGGTCCCATCTAGAACCACCTTGGGTTGAGTTGAGTTGAGTTGAGTTGAGTTGAGTTGAGTTGAGACCTCCCCATCACCACCACAATGACCCAGGTCCCATCTAGTACCACCTTGGGTTGAGTTGAGTTGAGTTGAGTTGAGTTGAGTTGAGTTGAGTTGAGTTGAGACCTCCCCATCACCACCACAATGACCCAGGTCCCATCTAGTACCACCTTGGGTTGAGTTGAGTTGAGTTGAGTTGAGTTGAGTTGAGTTGAGTTGAGTTGAGACCTCCCCATCACCACCACAATGACCCAGGTCCCATCTAGTACCACGTTGGGATGATCCAGGACCTCCCCATCACCACCACAATGACCCAGGTCCCATCTAGTACCACGTTGGGATGATCCAGGACCTCCCCATGACCACCACAACCACCCAGGTCCCATCTAGTACCAGGCTGAGTTGAGTTGAGTTGAGTTCAGTTGAGTTCAGTTGAGTTCAGTTGAGTTGAGTTGGGACCTCCCCAAGACCACCAAAACCACCCAGGTCCCATTTAGTACCACATTGGGATGATCCAGGACCTCCCAGCACCACCCAGGTTCCATCTAGTACCACGTTGGGTTGAGTTGGGACCTCCCTGTGACCACCACCACCACCCAGGTCCCATCTAGTACCATGTTGGGATGATCCAGGACCTCCCATCACCACCACAATGGCCCAGGTCCCATTGAGTACCACGTTGGGTTGAGTTAGAACCTCCCCATGACCACCACAACCACCCACGTCCCATCTAGTACCACCTTGCTTTGAGTTAGGACCTCCCCGTGACCACCACAACCACCCAGGTCCCATCTAGAACCACGTTGGGTTGAGTTGGGACCTTCCCATCACCACCCAGGTCCCATCTAGTACCATGTTGAGATGATCCAGGACCTCCCATCACCACCCAAGTCCCATCTAGTACCACGTTGGTTTGAGTTAGGACCTCCCCATGACCATCCAGGTCCCATCTAGAACCACGTTGAGTTGAGTTGAGTTGAGTTGAGTTGAGTTGAGTTGAGTTGAGACCTCCCCGTCACCACCACAACCACCCAGGTCCCATCTAGTACCACGTTGAGTTGAGTTGAGTTGAGTTGAGTTGAGTTGAGTTGAGTTGAGTTGAGTTGAGTTGAGTTGAGTTGAGTTGAGTTGAGTTGAGTTGAGTTGAGTTGAGTTGAGTTGAGTTGAGTTGAGTTGAGTTGAGTTGAGTTGAGTTGAGTTCTCCCCGCAACCACCCAGGTCCCATCTAGTACCACGTTGAGTTGAGTTGGGACCTCCCCGTCAACTTGCATTCCATCCACCACCATATTGGGATGATCCAGGACCTCCCAGCACCACCCAGGTTCTATCTAGTACCACGTTGGGTTGAGTTGGGACCTCCCCATGACCACCAAAACCACCCAGGTCCCATCTAGTGCCACGTTGGGTTGAGTTGAGTTGAGTTGAGTTGAGTTGAGTTGAGTTGAGTTGAGACCTCCCCGTCACCACCACAACCACCCAGGTCCCATCTAGTACCACGTTGGGATGATCTAGGACCTCCCATCACAACCACAATGGCCCAGGTCCCATCTAGTACCAGGTTGAGTTGAGTTAGGACCTCCCCATGACCACCACCACCACGCAGATCCCACCTACCACCACGTTGGGATGATCCAAGACCTCCCATCACCACCCAAGTCCCATCTAGAACCAAGTTGGGTTGAGTTAGAACCTCCCCGTGACCACCACAACCACCCAGGTCCCATCTAGTACCACGTTGAGATGATCCAGGACCTCCCATCACCACCACAATGGCCCAGGTCCCATCTAGAACCAAGTTGGGTTGAGTTGGGACCTTCCCATCACTACCAGGTGCCTTCTACCACCAAGTTGGGTTGAGTTGGGACCTTCTCACCACCACCAGGTCCCATCTATGCCCAGGATGGGACAACCTAGAACATCCCCATCACCACCATCCTCACCCAGGTCCCATCTACCACTGGGTTGGGTTGAGTTGGGACCTCCCCGTGACCACCACAACCACCCAGGTCCCATCTAGAACCACGTTGGGTTGAGTTGGGACCTCTCCAAGACCACCACCACCACCCAGGTCCCACCTCTCACTGCTTTGTGAGCCCTAGGACCTCTCCATCACCACCACCACCGCCCCACCCAAAGGTTGCTTGGAGGTCCCGTCCACCTCCGGGTGGTGAGTTGGGTGGAGAGGACCTTCTGGGAGGTGGGGGTTGAACTGGGACCTCCCCATCACCACCAGGTCCCATCTACCACCAAGTTGGGTTGAGTTGGGACCTTCCCATCCCCACCAGGTCCCATCTAGAACCACGTTGGGTTGAGTTGGGACCTTCCCATCCCCACCAGGTCCCATCTAGAACCAAGTAGGGTTGAGTTGGGACCTTCCCATCCCCACCAGGTCCCATCTACCACTGGGTTGGGTTGAGTTGGGACCTCCCCGTGACCACCACAACCACCCAGGTCCCATCTAGAACCAAGTTGGGTTGAGTTGGGACCTCCCCATCAACCTGCATTCCATCCACCACCATATTGGGATGATCCAGGACCTCCCAGCACCACCAGCAGGACCCAGGTCCCATCTAGAACCAAGTTGGGTTGAGTTGGGACCTCCCCATCACTACCAGGTGCCTTCTACCACCAAGTTGGGTTGAGTTGGGACCTTCTCACCACCACCAGGTCCCATCTATGCCCAGGATGGGACAACCTAGAACATCCCCATCACCACCATCCTCACCCAGGTCCCATCTACCACTGGGTTGGGTTGAGTTGGGACCTCCCCGTGACCACCACAACCACCCAGGTCCCATCTAGAACCACGTTGGGTTGAGTTGAGACCTCCCCGTGACCACCTCCACCACCCAGGTCCCACCTACGACCATGTTGGGATGATCCAGGACCTCCCAGCACCATCAGCACCACCCAAGTCCAATCTAGTACCACGTTGGGTTGAGTTAGGACCTCCCCATGCCCACCACACCCCCCCAGGTCCCATCTAGAACCACGTTGGGTTGAGTTGAGACCTCCCCGTGACCACCTCCACCACCCAGGTCCCACCTACGACCATGTTGGGATGATCCAGGACCTCCCAGCACCATCAGCACCACCCAAGTCCAATCTAGTACCACGTTGGGTTGAGTTAGGACCTCCCCGTGACCACCACAACCACCCAGGTTCCATCTAGAACCACGTTGAGTTGAGTTGAGTTGAGTTGAGTTGAGTTGAGTTGAGACCTCCCCATCACCACCACAATGACCCAGGTCCCATCTAGTACCACGTTG